ATCAGAGCCGGCCCTACCATAGGGCGAAAAGAGCAGCCGCTCCAGGCGCTAAGTCCTAGGGGGCGCCTCAGTGGTAAAGAAAATTAAAGGGTATAAATTTGGGGGCAACCAAGGGCAGTGGCGTAGTGAGGGGGTGCATCAAGCACCGGGCGCCACTCGCAGAGGGGCGCCCAAATGGTCTCCAAGACAAACTATATGTGTTCTGGAGGGGGCGCCAATAAAGTGTCGTGCCACGAGCGCCAGTTATGTTCGCTACGCTACTGACCAAGGGGGCGCCATAATAGGATCTCGCTCCATCCTAAAACTTGCCTCGGGCCGGCACTGCCACCAACATTCTTTCTTCAAATCGTGATGTGGATGGACGGGCACTTCTCTGTGCGTCCTCAAACAAACCTGTGGTCATTTTAATTTCGAATGACAATTCTTGATTGTTTCCGGATGGAATGTGCCATTTTTACTGTATGCAACAATCTCTGCAATTACTGATTTCCACAGCTCATAGTGTGCAGCAATTTGCGTTCACTCTCAAACAGACCGTCTTTCTTGCCTCTGTGTGCCTGGTCTCTCCTGGTCACTATCCACACCAATGATGAAGGAATTATAAAACTCCATTCATTATTGTACACGGATATTACATTTTATTAAGATTATCTTAATATTACAAAAAATTATAGCGATTTCTTAATGCCTAGTTACTTTCCATCTACCCTGTAACTTTCACTATATTGCTAGGGCAACTTTCCCCACCTCCCAGAAATGTATTTCATCCAAAAATATCTGGAAGGTTACGCGAATATTGCTGGACTTTTACTCCATACTTCGTAAAAAAAAAGTAATAACCGATATTTAAATTATAGGATAAATAGAATATAAACTCACAGCATATTCATTCGGATGTTCAGGACAGTAAATCTAAAAGCAAAAAAATATATATATATAGTCTATATATATGTGTAAAAAACAATTAAAATCTGCTCTGATTTCGTTCCCATAATAACAGACAGCATAGGTTGCCATTAAATGGGCAATATATAAGAGGAGTCAAACTTTAATCTTTTGTTAAGGATTAAATCTATAATAAGGTAAAAACTTGAATCTTTAATCACCTCCAAAACCTTAATTAATTTTATTTTCTCAACACGAAAAATTCATATATAAGATACATAAAATCTATTTTAAAATAATTAAATGAATAAATATATATACCTGTACATTATATGGTCGAATTACTGCAGCCTCCACAGTAACTATGTAAAGAATTATAATAATTTTTATTAAATTATATGTTAAATAATTAAAAAAAAAATATAATTAAACTTACCAAAAATCAAAACTAGAAGAGATAAAGGTCGAGCCATCATGATTCTCTTATTATCAAACCGTGTTTGTGACTGTTCCTCACTATTCAAGTATAATATAACCTTCAGGTATAGAAAAATAAACTGTAGCTGAACAAATTCGATTTATTTAAACTAAAATTATTGGTCGATTCAATTATTTATGAGTATGCAAATAGCAAACATACAACATCCTACTTCAGATCATTTTAAATGAATTTTTAAAATGTTTTTTTAATTAATTAATAATAATTGCGAAGATCTTAAATTAGGTGAAATAGTTAAAAAAAACAATGAACGAGCAGACATACAGACGGGTATTGATTTTCGTATAAGTCTAAAATTGGGGTAGCTTATATTTAAATAAAGATATCTTTATACACATAAACGCAAATTTGTAAAAGAATTAAAGGGGGTGAGGATGCGGAGGAATAAAATCTAGAACATTTCTTAATTGTAATTGAAAATAATATTATATTATTAAATTGAAAACATTAAAATTCAGTTTCAATGAAAGTAAACAGAGTTTTTAATATGAAGGTTTTGTTTATTCTATAACAAAAATATACTGGTAAACATATAGATTTATATTGTATATTAATAGAAGTCCTATATACAGTTTCCTGTATAACTAATTTTGGAATTATCAGAATTTAGTGGTATGTAATCATGTAAAATTGTTGTATTAGTAAATATATATCAAACGATTAGTGTGTTTAGTAACTTCTTAAGGAAAGATTAAATGTATTTAAAGTGTATACTTGTATAAATAATGATTAGAGTATTTACTGTGTGTACTGTACATAAAAGAATTAGCATAGCAAGTAAATGCTCAGAAAGGAGGAAAAAGAGAAAATTATCCTACCCAAGGTAATGGGAGCTCGTATACAATGTCATATAAAGGTAAAAAAATATTTGAACGACTCCCCCCTATCTTTTCACCCCTCGACTTTTAACCTATAAAATTTATTAACATAAATGCCTCTAATATGCAAACATCTTTACAAAATATCAGAAAATTTGGACAATAGATATAGGATATATAAGAACTAGTGTGTATTTGATGAGTATATAAACTATTCAAGTATACTATTATGTTACAGTTTATGGGGGAGAAAGGATTCGTTTGTAACCGAGGAAAATTTTTGACGACGTTTGTCATTCATTTTTCTCACCATTCATCACAAAAGTATTTGCTAATAGTTTGAACTTTTGACCTTATGACGTAATTAGAGGAAGGGAGTAGATATTTTTGATTTCTGATGAATTGTAATGATGCTGGCAGGTGGGTCAGAAAGAAGCATAGTTTTGCAGATAAACGGTTTCATTATATTAAAAAAATTAGTTTTATAATTAAATTTCTGTTTAATTATCGATGCAAAAAAGCTCCAAAAATTTAATTTGAATAAATAATGCATAATTAATGGAGGAAATTAATAAATCAGTTAAGTGTGTGGATCCTTTTACAAGTAAATTACCCAAATTTTATAAATCATATTTTAATTAATTTTTAATTTGTAAAATTAGAAAAATATTGAAATGATTTGAGTCAAAATAGATCTTATTTTCTATATTATCACCTGAAATATAAGTAAACAAATGCGTTTAATAGAAGCAACTGTTTAAACTAAATATAAATCAATGTTTATCTAAATTTAAAAGTTGAATTATAGCTATTTAAAATAATATATATGAACATGATTCCCGGTCTATCTCTCCACCCTCTCGACTTATAACCACCAAAATTTAACAGAATCAACCCGACTAACACAGAAACCTCTCTGCAAAATTTCAGAAAATTTCAACCGAAAGCACAGGAGTTAAGCTTGAAAGTGAGTGAACAAATTCATACATACTGATATCCATAAATATAAGAAAAATTATAGAAAAATTATGTAAAATGTATTGGAAATAAGAAAATCTGTACTTTTTATTGTTTTATTGCATTTTATTAAGTTTCCATATGTCCATCATCATTAGTAATACAACGGGTAATACGATTTTGTAGTTCTGTAAAAAAAAACATTTTCAAAATAGACCCCCTATAACACTATAGATAATTTTGCGTTGTATGAATTCCATGTTGTACGAGTCACTTAGATTTTACACATATCTGAGCCATTCACAGCCCAGCACACGTATTTGTAAAATCTAAGTGACTTGTACAACATGGAATTTATATAACACGGAAGTATCTACAGTGTTATAGGGGGGTCTACTGTAATGCCTGAAATCACATTAGTTATTTTAGCTTTCAAGTCTTCTAACGGTCGAAGTTTGGTTGCATATACTATTGTTTCTACGTGTGTCCATTAATAATATTATCCATAATATTAACAATTAAAAGATAAACGCTGTAGCTACGTAATCCTATTTTCATATCGGAGTTATTTTTCGTAACGTCTGAAGCTTATTCGCTTCTCGCTTGCAATGTCAATGTGTGTAATCAGAAGCAAAAATATCTGAGAATCAATATTCAGAAATAAAAAATCTATTCGTCTGGTTTTCATTATTTTATTGTTTATACTCTAATAAGAGCGCTCTTTTCATACAATCCTTCCCAACGGCCGAGCGGTAAGGTAGTATTCTACCACTCGGGATCGACTCCATGATGGGAAAGTAATTCCGAACCGAAAAACACCAGAAATTAAAATAAATGGTGTATTAATAATCTAATTTAAAAAATAATTGAAAAAATTACTCCGAAATTAATGTTTGATTTAAAAAATTATATAACGTTAAAAAAAAATTTAATAAATTAGAACCATTTTGTTACTTCTTTCACTAGGCGGCGCCACTATGACAAGTGGGGACGTTGTATTTTGATTTTGTGTGGAAGATGTTATTTTTTTTATTTTTCAGTTTAACGAAGTGAAAAAAAAAACAAATTCCCGTTATCCATGGATAAAAATTGCTGTAGGACATTAGTAATTTGGGAAATCGTTCTTGATTTATGTTATGATCTTCGTTATTAAGACATAAACTATGGATGCCTGCGAGAGGCAGAAAAAACTTCAAGCTGGTAGAGAAAAAGTAAGTTCTATCAATGAATAATGCTATATTTAGCACGTATAAGACCACAAAGGATCCATTTCAAGTTATAAAATAAGTAAAAACATCAAATTAATCAATTACAACAATAAAACGTGCACTAAAATCAATCAGTTTCACATATATACATAAAAATTAATCAATTTCAAAAGAAATATTTCCATGAAAAGCATTGAATTAACATGCACATGATTGATTTTCCACAAGAAAATACGAAATTTATCTACCTTATCCTTTGATTAACTGCCGATAAAGATTGCTGTCGGCACAAATATATTTACATTACTGTGATGTAAGAGGTTATGAATGGACATTACATTATACATTCTGGATACAATACAATGATAATTTAGTAAAATAATATGTGAGTCAATGTTTAAATACAGCAAAAATAAAGTTAACCCATTTCTTTTGGTATGTTGCCAAATTTGTAAGTGCAAAACAAGTAGCCTATATGAGGATGTTCCTGCTGTTTAGAAATCCTGTAGGAAGTTCTTGTTTATAACTCTGTAAGGAATTAGGGATTAAAGTGTGGTTCGTGTTACTAGATTATATTAAATTGTTTGTTTTTTTTTTATGTTAAGCAACTGTACAGGATATAGGCACCATCCTTTAGTGAGGATAAACTTGTCATAACATAATTAATGTATAAACAGATGATAAGTATTTGTAAGCACAATGTGCATTTATTTTGACAATTGGACAGAAGAAAGAAACATGAAAATTAAGAATAATTACTGAAAGTATAGATAAGATTTCTAATTGGAAATTTGATCACTTGTTGTAAAATTTGCATCTCAAAGAAGCATGTGAATTGTTGTTTATGTTAAATCCATCAATTGAATAAATGCATGTGCTTAAAACATATGATTTTTAAAATATTACAAATAATAAATAAATTGTTGATATATTTGTACAGGATTTTGCTACATTTCATACATATGGAAATAAAGTAGAATAGTCAGTCTGTTATGGTTATGTTTAAAAATTATGTTCACAAGTATTCATGAAGAATTATTAAGCAAATATAACAAATACTAAAGTTCTCTTTATTTGAAGTTGAACTTGTACTTGAAAGTAATTTTGATAAAAATTACTTACAGCTATAATTTTTAATCTTATGTATTTATATTTATTTTAATCATATTTTGGATATTAATATGAAACACTTTTGTTTATTTTTAACTTTAAATCATTTTTACAAGTTACAAGATACAGTAGAGTCCAGGAAATTCAACTCTCAATAACTTAATGTTCTTTCATGCAGAGACATAGTCTACCATAGAGATTAGGTTTTCTCATGTGGAGACGTACTGTACTAAAACCAGTGATAAGTACTGTACTGTACATCAGATTTTCTTTGATGTGTCTCTAAAGAAAGTACAGTAGTATGTATCCCTTATTCCTGGTTTCTCATTCCATAGTTCTAGTTATCTGTAATCAACCATGATCCAAAAATAATAAAAGAAAAATTCTAGAATTAAACAGTTCATAGGCCTAAGTTTTAAATTGTATGCCATTATGAATAGAATGATGAAATTCTTTTACTGTC